ACCAAATAACTATTGCTTGGCTTGCACACCAAGCAATTCTAGAATGCTCCTAAAATTCCACATGTTCAAAACTCTTCGCCCCTCTTTACACGCACGCCGCCTAACGGCTTTCCTAATTTTGATCGCGCGCGGCTTCGCTCGCGCGCTCCCCGCACCCGTTGTCCGTCTCGCGCCCTTCGCCCGTGTCGCATGCTTCCCGCACGTGTGCGTCCGTCACTTTGGTTCCTTCGAGGCATAGGCCTCGTCCACTTCCCTCGCACGCGTCATCTCTCGCGCATCCCTGCTGGGCGCCGACTCCTTTTTGCGCGTGTACCTCATCACCCGGCCTGCCTACTTCTCCGCGGATTAGGACGCCCGCGCTTATTGTGCACTCGCGCGCTAACGCGCGACTGCAACTACCGCTGTCCAACTCCCGCGCGTCCTCACCGTCGCCAGCTACGCCTATGCCCACACGGATTAGGCGTTCGCCCGCGTCGCTGGTACTCGCGCGCCCCTCGCGCGCCTCGCCCCAGCTGGCCAACCATCGCGCGTCCCGACCACTCACGTGGTTACTGCCCTTGCTCGACGTTCCCGTGCCCGCATCATGCCTCCCCGGTGTCGTGTGCGTTCCGGGCCATTCGCCACCCGCCCTATCACCTATGTCTTCTCGTTTCGCCCATGCGCCTCCACCGTCGGCCGTGCACCCATGTGCGTTACACCCATGTGCACATCCTTGCTCGTTCGACCCCTTCGTATGTTCGTGCGCATCAAGGTACGATGCGCGCTGCTGACTCGGCTCGCACCCCCGTCGCCAGCCGACTGTAATTGCTCGCCCGGTCGTCTCGGTCCGTCCCATGGGTACCATCCCTCGATGTGCTTACCTTCTATGTTCATGCAATCTTCGGCACGCCAAACCCATCCATCCTCCATTCTTTCCTTACTTCGCCTTCGAGCCTCCATCTTCCATGCTCGTCTCTTTCTCGCACATGGCTTACACCAACACTTCTCTTCTTTTGCTTTTGTCTTGTGTTTCCTTCGAGCTCGTTTGGTCTTGCTCTTCCTGATCTTTAACTCAGCCTGTGGACCACATCCTTTTGGCCAGTCTCGTACACCTGATGGCCGGTAAATCGGGCTAGATGGCTCCTCCAACATATTTTCTAGCCAAATATCAAGACCATCGCCATCATCATTGTCGGACTCACCGGGGTTGATGACCACTTCCGTATCAACGCGCGCGGGCGCAGGGCAGTGGCGTGCGCGCACGCACAGGGCAGCAGGGAAGGAGCGCGCACGAACAGCACGCGCGCGTGGGCTGGGCTGCCAATGGCGGTTTGGGGTTACTTGGAGTGCAAGAAAAGTTCAAGATCCCTACTTATTTAGTTTCCTTAATGCTCTATGATATCTAGATTGGTTAGGACACCTAATATTTTATTGCTTTATTATTTCCCTAGGTAGATTAGGACTAGATATATTTTGTGCCTATATAAAGGCCCTTCCCCTATGTTATTTTTAATCATTCAAGAATCAATAGAAATCCAGAACTTTGTTCTTCCACTTTGCTTTAGTCTTTCGCCAAAATACTATTGTAATTTTATTCGTTTCAATAGGCGCTGTTGTGGCTAGAGAAACACTATCGGCGATTCAAGGCGCGGGTTAGCGGCTTATTGGCAATCGAAACACACGATCCTCATCATTGGTGCTTTCATTGAGAGGTGTTGATCGTGTGTTTTTCTTCTACCCCTTTCCCTTTCTTTTTCTTTTTCTATTTTTCATCCCCCCTCTTATATCAAAATATATATATATATATATATCATCATCTTCAACACGAGTCCTAGAAGCAAAGAGAAGAAAGCCATGGCCAACAAGGAGATGAAGGACAAGATCGATAATCTCGACGTTCAAGT